GCGTCTGTCAAGTTATATGACTGTTATCTGTTATATGTGTGATAAGTTATCTGTAAAGTGACGGGGTATACTGAGATAGAGCAATGAGCGCCCGATAGGTGAGCCTCAGCGGCGCCGGTCCGCCGGTATCCTGAGGCGGCGCGGCGTGCAGGTTAACGCATCTGACGAGTATTACGGCTGACAGAATGTGTCCGTACAAGTTGGGGACCCGCGGCGACGCCCCTGTTGCGTATGCCATGGCGAACATTATTTGTTTTCAAGGATATCTCACTCTAGGTGACCTGATCACCTGACCTTAAATGACCTTGGTTTGAAGTTTTATAAATTGTGTGGAAAAGATGCCTATTTATCATAAGTTTTGCCCAATACAGCGAAGAGTAACTTGGACGGGGTCAACGGAGAGTTACGACAGCACGACCTTTGGCCGGTCTCCTTGCTTACTGTTTCGGCCCAGCTGTCAAGCTGTGGTGACGCCTATTTCATGCAGGAGTAGTTTACAGCTGTTTTCACGACGAGCTATCCGGCGAAGGCATCTGATTTGACCAAATCTGCACCTAATTTCTTTTACAGCAAATATCCTTATTTTATGAATTCATTTCAGTGTTTTCATCGATGATACTCTAATAATATGACAAAGCAGGCATATAAGCAAATAGTGCAACCCTAGCTGATAGCTACTATAAGAGACATACTAAACCTGATTTGACCAAATCTGCACCTGATCTGCACCAGATGTGCACCAAGTGTGTACCAGTTGGCCGTCGTGAAAACGGCTAATAGATAGGTACTACCGCTAGTGTAGGTTCGTGTATGATATAGGCCACGACCTTGCTTCTATGGCCCGCAGTATCAACAGAGTAGTTTTTCGTGTCCCCGCACCGCGGCTCTCACATTAACCCTCGCATGTGTAGGGGGGGGGGGTCGGATGGACCCCCCCCCCATGGTTTTTCGCGAATAACTCGCGTAAAAGCTACCGATCGCGACGAAATTTTCAGTACCCTCACATTGATCAATTTTACACCTACCCTGAAAATTTCATGACCCTGACCAAAATGACCTTTGACCTGTGACCTCTTTTCCGAGACCATGTTTGGCCGGAATCGCGATTCCGCGTATGTCGGCTCGCATTTGCCGCGCGTTTGCAAGCTTTTCGTGGTTTCAAACGTTCAAACATGTGATTTGATGTTGCTCCCATGCATTAGGGTGGGTGTCAAGGTCACCTGAAGGTCAGGTCAGGTCATTGACCTTTGGTGACCTCGGGCGACCTCGGTTCACTTTTTCGAGTTGTACATGTTTCTAGGCTAGTTTTTGGAGCTGAGTTCGAATTTAGCAACCATTTGAACATTTACGAAGTAGTTTTGGTGCCTTTGTAACATGTTACGAAGCTGTCAGAGGCGGTTGACACGTACTACGAATGCCTGTCACGACACCTACTGGTTGACCTGACCTGACCTGACCCGACCTGGTCTAAATGCTTAAAAACATCATCTGTGATCAAAACTAACACGATATTCGTGATCAGCACCCCGAAAAACCCCTTAGCAGCCACACTTTACGACTTTCTAATAGGTCCCGATTTTCCCGACTTTGGGTCATTGACCTGACCTGGAAGGTCAACCAATGACCTAGGACCTTAAAATTGGGTATCATCGGCTTCCTCTCGTCACGGGCAACACGCTCGTTTTTTCCGCGAAGCTCTAGCTCGATCAGGGGCCAAACGGCAAGGGGGTGGGTCCAACCGACCCCCCCCCCCCTACACATTAGAAGCTGGCAAACGCCGCACACATGCGAGGGTTAACCCTCGCCCGCACATGCCATTTTCCCATCCTAGAACGGACATGGGGGGGGGGGGTGGCTGCCACCCCCTGCGCCGTTTCGTTCCTGTTGGAGATAGAGCTTCGCAGTAAAGATCAATTTTTTTTTTTGGAAGAGACGAATCCAATGCAGTACCCAGTTTTACCTTCTCAAGTCAATCATTGACCTTCCAGGTCAGGTCAAACTAAAAAAATGTTGCTGTTTTGGGTCACCGTTGGATATCAAGTGTTAGTGCGCTGCTTATCATACACCGATGGCGATGCCGTTTTCTGGTGCCAAGCCAGCTAGAACCTCTTTGTCACACTACCCGGCTACCCGATCGCCGAAACCAAAACCGCAGAAACTTGAAATTTTCAGTGGACATCAAGAAAGGATAGAGGAGCAGCTATACGAAAAATCAGGCTTCCAGCTCTAAAAATGTTGAGTGCAGAGCAGAAAGAACTACCTGGGGTGGCAACCCCCCCCCCCATGTGCGGGCGAGGGTTAACGCTTTCAAGAAAGACTAATTACAGATGGTTTGTTTGTCATTGTCTCTTCTGATTACTGGAAGCCTATAGGAATGGATACCTACTTATCATTTGTGTTTCAGATGGACTTAGAAGATCTGTGCGGGGAGCTGGCTGCTCTTCGTAAAGAGTTTGTTGGTTTGAAGGGAGAAGTGACCACCCTGCAGGGGGAGGTGACTACACTGAAGGGAGACAACGCCACACTGAAGGGAGAAGTGACCACACTGAAGGGAGACAACGCCACACTGAAGGGAGACAACGCCACACTGAAGGGAGACAACACCACACTGCGTCAGGAGGTGGTCCATCTACGTGAAGAGGTGGTCCGCCTGCGACAGGCTGTCCTCGAGGAGCGCACCACTCGCGAGGTCGTCGTGGAGGAGCTGCGGCAGGAGGTCCGCCGGCGAGCGGCGCCATCCGGCCGTCCGCAGGGGTGAGGCTGGGAGGCAGCAGGGGTGGCACCAGGGGTTAATCGGTGGGATGACACTAGGGACTAACAGTAACAGTAAGCCGGCCTTGATTGCAAGAGATGACTCTTAAGGTGTGGACAGCTGGTCTGTATGTCAAGCTGGTTGTGGAGGCAAGAGTCAAATTTGTTTGTGAAGAAACTTTGTAAGAGGTTATTCGGTTTTGTACACAGTTTGTCTGTTAGAGTACGCATTATTTTGTGGATAGTTTGTCTGTAAGAGTTGGTACGTACATCTTATTTTGTGAATAGTTTGTCTGTAAGGTGACACTCGTTTTGGTAGCCAGCTTGTCTGTAAAAGACTGGGAGGCAGCAGGAGCTAGACAGGGTTTGGGAAAGGACTCTGTGGCCTTACCTAGGTCAATGGTACGGTGCTGCCCCGGAAGTGAAGATAACTATCTGGAAATTATCGCCTAACCACTGACCTCTGATGACGTCACACCATGTCACTCTGACGTCATTTTGTCACAGTGACGTCGAAGAGGTGATGACGCTGAAGGACGGAACCGGCGACAAGTGTGACGTCATCAGCACCTGTGACGTCATCACCCAAGATAAGGAGGAGGCGGGACTGGCGGGCGGTGACGTGCGAGAGGCTGTACCGCGATGGCCTTCTCTTATTTATCTCCTGGACCACGACGTGCTGAAGGTGGTGCTGAGCAAAATGGACTGCTGGGAAATGATCCGCGCCAGGCGGGGTAAGTGTTCTGGCAACTGACATTGTTTGCAGGACGGTAGAAAAGATAATAGATCATGCTTCATTATGATATACAGTCCTTCTTGGAGTTCCTTTCCTAGAAACCGGCGAGCTCGGCACGAGACATTACATCACTGGCACTCCGGAACCGGGACAGACAGACTGGCCAAGGCCGTATAAAGACTGGCAAAGGGCAGGCTGGCACAGGATTCGTATGTGAATTCAGGGCTGCTCGGTATACTCTTTGTTATAGAATAGCTTCTTCTTTTAATTAACCCGCGCCCGGCTGGGGGTCCTGGATTTCCACGCCCTGCTGGGGGGGATGTTTGAACACCCCCCCCCCCCCTTGTAACTCGGCTCCTGGGCCACGTAGCGATACCCGGAAGGCGGCGTTCGACAGAGCGTCAAAAATAATGACGAAATCACTTCGGTCAATTTTTTGGTCAGGTCAAAGGTCAGGTCACCAGAGGTAATTGAAGGCAAAATTTCGCCGATTTCCAGGTCTAATGTCGAAAATTTCCAAGAAGCCAACGCATAACTCGGGAACCAATAGAGCTACAGCGCCGCGGAAAAGCGCATTCGATAGCCCTATTAGCGCCCTTTCTGAGTATTCTCTCAGATTTGACCTAACGTCAACGATTTTGCCTGCAGGGGGCAAAAACTGTAAAAGTAGCCGATTTTTTCGGAAACAGTTTTTCTGCAATAACTTTTGACCCAAGCCTTTTACGAGCTTACTTTTACTGGCATCGTGTTCCTCTCGTCAAGACGCATCGAATGAACTATAACTTGACCTTGAAAGGTCAACTTGAAAATTTGACCTCAGGTCAAGGTCATGACCTGACCGGAAAGGGTCATGTTGCATATCAGTCGATCCGTATCGTCGAGCTGAACACATCTAAGGCGTTTTCATCGCTCTAGCATGCCTCTATCAAAAGTTATTTGCGAAAAACTGTTAGATACCATTCGTGACCTAAGATGACCTCAGGGCATAAACAAGGGTCACGGACACCATTTTCATGTTCAGTGTGTCTAAACCACTTGTAATTCGGTGTTTGGGAGTGTTTATAATGTCTGTCGTCCAAAAGAGGCGCATTTCAATGTTCTCCCATAGACTTATAATGGGGAGGTCGCAAAATTGACCTGACCTTAGGTCATCTATATCAAAATTCTGAGATAAACATTTTGTACATGCTATTGCTCTTAGCAATCGCTGAAAGTTTCAAAGCGATCGGTCACTCGTTGTAGCTATGACAGACATTGAAACTTTTTATGAGGTGAGGTCACTTCAAGTGACCTGGTGACCTGACCTTGAATGACCTTGGTCTGAAATTTTCACAACATGTGTAGAATTGATGTATGCGCCGCCGTTTTTTAAGATATTCGCGAAAAACCACAAGGGGGGTGACACCCCCCCCCCCCCAAGCAGGGCGCGGGTTAAAGATACCAAAGCTGTCTTTAAATGAACAATGACGTTCTCGTCAAAGTGCTCCTTCTTTTTTTTGTTCCTTCGGTGCCGACAGTCTCCCGTCGGTGGCGGTCCGCCGTCGACGATATCGTCGGCGACTGTCGGCGGGAGCTAACCGATCAACAAACTCGAGGTGGAGAAGTCCCTGCGCCGGCTACGGGCCTAGAGCTCGTAGTGAAGACACAGGACCAGCCGAAGATGACTGAACTGCGGGCGCCGACGGCTGAGACAGACACCGACCTTCGACTGGTCGGTGAGTCCTGTGTGAAACGCACTAGACACGACATGGTACGCTTTGTCCCGCTGTAACTCGTTCCTTGTCGATATGATGATATGAGCGATCACTTCTTCACTGACTAGTGCTGCTTCATTCCAGCGGCCACCTGCCACGCCCTGGAGAAGGCTAACCTGCGCGGCTTCAAGCTGCGAGTCTCTGCCCTGCGCCGGCTGGGCAGTCTCTGCCCTGCACCACTGACCAATGGCCATGACAAATGTAGGGAACACGTGGCTTTTATGTTCCGCTTACTACTGCACTTTATCAAGTTGACAAAACGTAGCGCCTATCGTTAAACACATATCGTACTGATCATGCTAATGAGTATATGAATTTGGCTATTATGTATGAGTATAATGCTTATACATCTTATTCTCAATAACGGTGGGCGCTCGAGGCTGCCACGCTATTATGGACTTGTTAGAAGGATGGCCTATACAGGGTGATCCAAAAAATTTGGAACCCCTAACTTAAAATGTCTATAGGTCCGAAAGAATTCACTTTATTGACAAATTGCGAGCTCCATTAGAAAGAGCATTACGTTCTCTATAAAATAACGTCAAATTGGTGCATGTTTGTTGTTAAGCATTGGCACACTATTAACTTGTGGAATGAGCGTCAGAAAACTGAGTGAAACGAAATTGCCAAATTTAACAATGCGCTGAAATCCGTTAGCACTCTATCTGTTGTCTTTTTGCGAAATACACCTCTTCCAAATTCAATTTTATTTCATAAAAGTTAACACAGAAGCACACAGTAGAACAGATACACGCGTCCTAACTCCTAACTTCCGCTATTCATCACAGCATGTGCTCAACGCGAGCTCCGGGGGCCGTCACGCAGGCCTGCAATTGCTTGGGGACAGCTCCGACTGCGCGGGCCAGCAGTCTCTGGGACAACTGGTCCCAGCAGGCCGTCAGCCTTTCCTTTCCTTACAATAGCACGTGAATGAGCTATTTTTATTGATGAATCTCCAACAAGCGACATGGTCAGAACAGCAAACCGGTAATCACTGATTTGCGCATAATGTTCAAAACCGTTTCACGAGTTTCGTGACACAAATTTTATAGGCATATGTCTAGGGCAATATTTATAATAATAAGTAGGTACAATCAACTTGGTTTTATAGATAATTGAACGCTCTTTCTAATGGTGTTTGCAATTTATCAATCAAGTGAAAATTTCCTGACTTACAGACATGTTAGGTTACGGGTTCCATTTTTATGGATCACCCTGTATAAAGCAGTTGGATCTTACTACTGCGCTTTTCCACTATTCCTTTATTGCACTCGCTTGTCCGTTTCCCAAAAAGGCGTCCGTCTTGTTGGTATAGCATATATTGCTGATAATATTATTCATCTTCAGTTCCAGCCATTCCAGTCGGTATGTGTGTCTGTCTTTATGTTTTACAGACTCACCGTCCGTGACACCGGAAGCGACGGGACGCCTCCTGGCTGCCCTCACCGGCTTGAAGGACGTCACTCTTGTTGTATCAGGCGTCATTTCCGAAACTGTGCTAGCCGCCCTCCACGGCTGCTCCCAGCTGGATACGGTGCAGCTCAGTGACACCCGGCCCCTCGCGGACATCCCTGCCCTGACCCAGTCAGAGGTGGCAGCCGTCAGCAGGTCAGTCGGCCGGACGGCGACGGCGGGTATTAGGTGTATCTGGATAGACCGCAATAACCCCAGGGATGACCGTATCCGTTGAAGCCTTGGAGGTATACATAGCAGTACGGGCACGGGGACACTGGAAATGGAAACAAACGCGTTACAGAAGAATAGGCATCCAAAGACAGGCTTATTTATTCAGGTGATTGTGTTGATGCGATGCAAACAGACAGACAGACGGACAAACGGACGGGCAGCTACGTTATCTGGACTGGACTGGTATTTTATATACATGTGGGCATAATATTGAGTGGTATAATGCTCATATACATAGTATCGTGTGAAACATAGTATCGTGGAGTCTGGCGGCTCCAGTGGCGCAGTTGGTAAGGCGTCGGTTCTGTGGTCGGGAGGACCCGGGTTCGATCCCCGGTGCCGCCCGGCTTCCGGACTGGCGTCCCCAACTGTGTCACTGGTGGGTGGGGTGGGCTCCCGCCTTGCACCGTAGCCCTGAGGAGGAGCAGGAGCCCTCCCATAAATGGGAAAACATATCCCGTGTGGAGGACGAGGAATAAATAAATAAATAAATAAATAAATAAATAAACGTTGGTAGCTGATTGCAGCACCAGACTGGGAACTTGAGATAGCCGGAGGCACATGTTCTGTTATGAATGGCATTAGACCTACATGGTGTCTCCGTGTTGAGTCGCCCGCTGCGCTGGTGCCACTGTGTGACTGTGTCCCGTATACTGACCTGTTGGGTTTTGTTATGATCTGTTACAGGATAGCAGTGACCTGCAGGAAACTGAAGAACCTGCACCTCACCTCCTCACTCGAAAACCGCCAGGCCGTCCTGACCGCCCTGCACGAGACAGACCTGGGATTTGACGGTGGCCAGTCCCGTACCATCTATCTCTGGGTCTCCAGTAAGTGACGGCGTCTCTGACCACCCACACCAGCCGACACGGCGCCACCGGCCTCTCTGATACGCGCAGACACTGACGCACGTGACGTCACAATAGGTGACGTGTATCTCCGTTAGTGACGTCACAGTATCAGTATCAGCCCTCATGACGTCACGTGTCAGTGATACACACTAGAAATGTCAATCGGATACCAACTTTTTGGTTTACCGATACCAAACCGATACCAACTTGGTATTTGGTATCTTGATCCTAATGTTGTTGGTATTTTGTTGGTAGGTATTACGAATCCGGCTAATGTATAAGAGGATACGAATTCGGTAAAAAGTTGGTATTTCCCTCATGTTCCCAAGTTGGTTTGGTTTCGGTATTTTTTTCATGGTTTTGGTTGGCATTTGGTTTGGTATCGGTATCCCGATTTTCCGTTATTGACATCACTAATACACACATTGTCATTGTATTTGTTTCTATAACTGTACATAGGTGACGTCATCAGTCTGAGTTGCCCCATGTAACATCACTAGCAATCAGTGTGTAATCTGACGTGTTCTGTTTCCAGAGTCTGTATACGACAAGCTTACTAAGCCTCCCAACGACAGTAAAGTCTCCTTGTACCACTATAAATAGACGACATACCTTCCCGGTGCGTCGTCCGCTCCGGTGCCGGCGGCAGTGTCGGAACTCGACAACAGATGGCAGCACCGTGTCCCGTCGGCAGCGCTGTACGGAGCACATTGCACACCTGGACCTTCATATCCAGAGTTGTTCGGAGCCGCCCTGTCCCATGGGGTCAGGTCCGAGGGTGCTTTACCGCTGTACCAGGCTGGTTTGGGTTGAGTAGCCACTTGATGGTCATTTGATTTAGGCACAGGCCACAGATTGCTATGTTTGTTGAGGTTGACACTGCTTTGATAGACAGTGGGTATGTTCACTGTTCAGTATCCGAGATTTATCACGCTCGGGGCCAGTGTCCAGCCATCGGTGAACCGTTGTCACCGTGCCGGCGGTACCGCCGTGGTGACGTCACGTGTGTTGTCGTGACGTCACGCTGGCTCACGCCGCTGTGCTGTTGTGTTGTAGTCTCAATTTAGACCAGAGAGTGGTTGGAGCTAGCTGTGGGGTGTCCGGTCCGGGCGATATCGGACCTCGCCCGTCACTGTGTCGGACCGTCGGTGGTCCGGTCGGCTGTGGTTCGTTTGGACCGGATATGTCCGGTTCGGTGTCGCTCATGGGATATCACGGGCTGATGGCGATTGAAATACTCAGTGGTTCAGACGTTCAATACACAAATGTTACTGCGATTTCCAAGCGCAACTATGTAGTGCTGTCATTTAGTGACGGTAACCCGTCAAAGGGATTGTAAGGCTTCTGACCATTATGCAATGCTTTGAACATATCATTCCATAATGTCATACGAAGTTGTGATAAAAAGAAGTCACCTACTTGAAGTGACGTGGAGCTCTAATGTCGGATGCTTCATAAAAAGTGCGTGCAACTTCAGATTGCCTAGTATAAGTGCTCCGTGAAAATTAAGCCAAACCCAGAGAGCTATCAGTAAAAAGAAAAATCAGGTCATTTCCAGGAAACGTATCCCTCAGGGGACAGGGGGAATCATACTTTTTACCCTCACCACCAGCCCAGCATTTCAGTTGACTGACCCTAAAGGCCTGGCTACACTATCCGTTTTCTGCGTGCGTTTTTTGCGGGTTTGCGGGTTTTGCGTAATATCGTTTTAGAATAAAAAACGAAATAACGTTTTTGTGATGTTTTTTATATTAAATTTTAGTTAATATAAGAGATGTTTTAACTTTTGTACCTAACTAATGCACAAGTCAACTAATGTTAAGTTTATATTTATAGCTTTTTTTTCTCGAACGATATTACGCAAAAAACGCACGCAGAAAACGCATAGTGTAGCCAGGCCTTTAGGCTGTGCTGAATATCACACATGAAGTGTGTCTATGGTGATCAATGTGTCACCCAGCCGGTGCAGTGCGGCACAGCCTACCACTGCAGGCAGCTGATTGCCCGAGCGGGCAATTTCTCAGCGCTGAGAAACGGTGCATCGTTCTGCCGTCAACTGTAGACTGTACAGTGTGTATTAGTTATATTACAGCTGTATGGACACAGCACGGGTACGGATCCCTGACACCATACCATCGACTGGTGGATACAGGACACGGTTTAGTATCCAGCGGTGCGATACAGCCGGTGGTCGTTATTTCTTTTAGAGAAGGTTGGATACCGCCAGTGGACACTATTTCTTTTAGAAGGCTGCATACCGCCAGTGGCCATTATCACTTTTAGAAGGCTGGATACCGCCAGTGGCCGCTATTATTTTACTGAAGGCTGGATACCGCCATTGCGGGCCATTATCACTTTTAGAAGGCTAGATGTCGCCAGTGGCTACTATCACCGGCATGATGTCGCCAGTGGCCCTATCACATAGAGGGAAAGCGTCCAATAGGGCCTTTCGGTTGTTTTCTCAATTAGGTACTCCCCTCTAAAAAGTGGTGAATAGTGACGTAACGTTTATCACTCAGTTCTAATCAATACCCTTACCTGAAAACGTTCGTGGTCCAATCATTGACCTTTGAAATTTTGCATTGTTTTAAGACAATATTCGACAAGAATGGTGATTCTCCGCATATAGCGCATATAATTTGTACGTGCACTTCACTTTTGCAAGAAGAAGTGAGTTAAAAAAAGGAATGAAGTTTGCCCTCTGGCTTATTGTAGCGTCAATGTCATTCAATTTTGATGAACTTTAGGTCTTGATGAGCTCCTTTTTGAAGGTGAAACTCATGGGTACCTATGTATATGTTACGGGTCATATGCTAACTTGGGCAGTATGCAAACTACCCGGGCAGTATGCATACTACCCAACAGCCCGGGCGGTATGCATACCGCCCGGGTAGTATGCATAGGTACTACCCGACCCCTTGGCAGTATACATACCGCCCAAAAGCTTGGGCAGTTTGCATACTGCCCACTTTCCGACTTTAAGTTGTGTTATACATATATGTCCACATTACGAAAATAAATGGCTCGCTGGGTAACAATAGATCAACCGAAAATAATTGTTTACCGTCAAACGTGATTGCTCGATTGTAGGATGGAATGAGGATTGGAATCAAAATCTTGAAAATACTTTTCCAAATTCCATTGTTGAATTACTAGTGGCAAGCAAGTCATTGTCATTGTGAAGCGTGAACTGAATGAAATGAAACGACGACATATGTAGTGTCAGCATTTGGCTTAGGCTTGGCACCTTGACCGTAGAGGGTGTTATTACAATTTCAATACCTACTGCTGCATGCAATTATTTTTAGGTAAGACGTTATAAGTTGTTATGAAAACTCATCAAATTAAATTTTGAAAAGCCATCTCACTTTCCGAACGCAATTGCACTCGCAGTTTCTTCGCCAATTCAGCAAACGAAGGCATCTGAGCAGTAGCGGCGGAACACCTTCAATTAAGGGGGGGGGGGGGCACTGACGACTTTTGGTCCCATTCTTTTCATGCAACGCCCATAGGGCTAATGTTAACCCGGCAGTTGCTGGGGTATTTCGCCACCCACCGTTTGCTGGGGGGGGGGGGGGCGTTAAACGCCCCCAGCCGATAACTCGAGAACCAATAGGCGCAGCGAAACGCACGAGGCGGCAAACGAAAGAACGCGACGAGACGCTTCAGATGAGTACTTTAAAATTGAATTTTGAGGTCACAGGTCGGGTCAAGGTCAGGTCAAACACCTGAAATCGGGCTTTCAGTAGCATGGACTTCAGGACTTCGAAATGGGCGCCTCTCGTCATAAACTCTGTCAAAACGGTGCACAATCCATCATATAAGGCCTACAAGAGTGTCAGCTCCATGTAGGGGTCAGTCAAGCATAGGTCAGGGTCAAGGTCAGGTCAACCGGGCAGGCACATATCCCCGAAAATCAAAACTGATATTCGCAGCCTGTGACACATGTTTTATGGGTAATTTGGGGCGTAGAACACGATGGTGGCATTCATTTTATCATATGTGTACGTGTTTGGCTAAAAAAGTTCAATTTAAGAAATACATGTATCATGGTCGTGAAGTAGTCACGAGAAATTGCCAAGATTCAGTTCAAGATTTTGGAAAATGCGGAACGATAATCAATAATCGAAGATAGCCATTTCATTGTTCATGGTATTGGCAGTCTAATGGTGTTTGCGGCATGTCTGTATGTCTATTCTGTGATTTTATATGATTTTTCGAACATATGCCGTTTTTGGTCGAAAACTCAGAAATCATGACGTCACTAAAACCTCGATATCTCAAAAATTTTCCGACCGATTTTTTTGAAACTTTGTCGCAATAATCTTTAGTCAATTCCCTACAGGTACCCAAATTTGGAGCGCCAATCGCTGAAAGTTTCAAAGCAATCTGTCACTAGGTGTAGCTATATGGCAGACATTGGAACTTTTTATAAGGTGAGGTCACTTCAAGTAACTTGGTGACCTGACCTTGAATGACCTTTGTCTGAAATTTTTACAACATGTGTAGAATTGATGTATGATAAGGTGTGCCAAAAACGGCGTTCGCGAAAAACCATTAGGGGGGGGGGTGTTCAAACCCCCCCCCCTCCAGCAGGACGCGGGCTAAACATGGACCTTCATCTAGTTTGTACTTTCTTGTCAAGGGCACTCAATTCGACCACCTAGTTTGCATGTGCCGCCAGCAGAAACTGCAACTTGCATATCCGGGGAGGGCAGTGTCTGCACACCGCTCGGCTCGTGTTGTCACGTTACCATGGTAACTCTGCTGACGTCATCAAATTGTTGCACCGCTCCGCGTCAATGGGTTAGTTCGGCCTCATGACAAAGGGACACAGGGGGAGGCACTGCGCAGTTCAAACCCTGTGACCCCAGACAGAGGCTGGAGGTCTAGGACGAAAGGTGTGCTGCTGAAAGACGTAAGGTAAGCGATTTCAGTTTCACCCGCGCCCCGCTGGGACTTGGAGAGGAACGACCTTCTGACCAGAGGCGGATCCAGCTCAGAGGTTTGGGGGGGGGGGCAAACCATAAAAATTTATCGATTCTTTCCATGCATCGTCCATAGGCGTAATGTTAAAATCATGCCGTTTGGGGGGGGCAAATGCCCATTTTGCCCCCCCCCCCCTGGATCCGCCACTGCTTCTGACTCCATGTGACCCAGCGAGACACAATTATCAGCATTTTACTAAGCATTAGGTATTAGTTTTATAATTGTTAGGCATTCGCTAATCGCTATTATCAACTCAGTTTTGATCATTGTATTCATGTATTTGGGGAAAGTCGGCTGCGGTCAGGTTACGTCAACCAACAGGCGTCCGCCGGCTAGCCATAGGTAGGTATGTATGTATGTGCTTACTGGGGTATTCCACGATAGATCGTACCAGGCCCGTCACCCTCATCTTTCAGATTTTAACCCGCGCCCCAGTTGGCGGTATCAGCCAACTTCGCCCTAGTGCTAGTGTGTGTGTGTGTGGGGGGGGGGGGGCATATGTTACCACCTACCTCTAACTCAAAAACTAAGAGGGCTAGAAAGACGCAGTAAAAAGCAGTCGATAGCTCTCAATGCGTACGTTTGAAAGTATTTCGGTCATTAATCATCTTAGAGCAATATTGGGGTCACTGGAGGTCATCAAAGGTCAAAATTTGCCAAATGTCATTATATTTCTGAGAAAACATGCATTTATCTCAGGAACTATGCTAGTTAAGAAAACGGATGGAAAAGCAATCGATAGCTTATGAACTTTTCTTTTGATAAGGTCATCATCAAAATTGACCTCAGGTCAATGGTTTAGCATCCAGAGGGCAAAAACTAAAAAAAGCTGTTTTACGAAATGTGTTTTTCGACAATAACTTTTGACTAAAACAGGCCACAACATTTCTATTGCCAGAGTCGTGTTCCTCTCGCCGAGACGCGTCGAATGAAATATAATTTGACCTTGAAAGGTCAACTTGAAAATTTGACCTCAGGTCAAGGTCATGACCTGACCGGAAAAGGTCATGCTGCATATCAGTCGATGCGTCTGAACAAGACAAACACAATGAGGCCATTCCCAACGTCCTATCTCTTTCCAATCGAAAGTTATTGACAAAAATCTGTTTGAAGCCTCAAATGACCTCGTGTCGCCACGCCGTCCTCTGGTCTGTAGTTGCGTACAGCGACACTTGATTTGACTGACTGGCTGTGGTGCAGGGTGAGGAGAAAGTGGATTCTGGTAGAGGATGGGAAGGAATGCGGTAGCCGCCGAGTGACCACAGCCCCTCGATGGCGAGGCTGC